ATATATATATATATATATATATATATATACACACACACACACACACACACACACATATACATATATATAAAAAGTTTAATTTCGGTATATATTAGAGGTCGACCGATTGATTGGCTGGCCGATTAATCGGCTATTTTTTGGCATTTTTTAATTAATCGGCATCTGCCAATTGTGTTGCAAATTAGGCCGATTTATAGGCAGGCACACCGGCGGGCAGCTAAGCGTTGTTGCGGAACTCCCTCTGAGGCAGTGTTGCCAATTTGGGGATTTTTTTCGCCAAATTTAGCTACTTTCTCATTGTAGCTGCGACTTTTTTTTATTTTTTGCGACAAGGAGCTATTTTAGCTATATTTAAATAAAACTAGCGAGTTTTTGGAGATTTTTTATTTTTTACTTGGCCACACCCTGCCGTAGCCCACACTGCTCTGAGGCTGCGAGAGACGGAGCAGCTCACACTCTGCAGCCACGGCTTGTTCACACACAGCTTCAGCTTATGATGGCAGGGCAAAACAGACAGTTTCGAAAGCGTAATTACGTTTTACCCTACTAGAATTGATGCCGGAAAGTTATCATATTCATAAGTGCAACAAGTCATTTGCATGTGAAAGTAGAAACACGTTAAATTCAGATGAAACTTCTGGGTTGATTATAACGTGCACGTTAACTTTCCTCATGAAATGTGTGTGTAGGTCTGACAATAGCATCCATGATGTCATCGCTCGTGGCCAGCGCACTCTTAAGCAGTTATGAGCAGCAGGCTGTGTGTAATATGTGTTAACTTTTATTTTTATCATCACTATGGCCATTTGACTTATAGCAGTGTCCAGTGTTTCCTATACATTGAGTTATTTGTGGTGGCTAGTCACAATATCAAAACTGACCGCCACAAATAGATTTTCCAAAAGGCTTATACTTCGTTGAATAAAATGAGCGCTTCACGTTTCAAAATTAAAATTCAGCACGGGTGTTTTTATATGAATGTATCTTTGAAAAGAACCGACCGTCTTCAGAAAAGCTTCGATGTCATTTTCATTTCGTCTTGCCTGTAATGCCTGATAAAGTAGCGTTTGTGAGCGCAGCGCTTATTTGAGTACAGCTGTTACCGGGGAAACCGCTATATCTCCCGCTCCAACAGCGCCTCCTGCTGGCAGAGAATCAATTTGCATTTGCAAGTCTGTGGGAAACACTGGTGTCTGTCAGCAAACATAAACAAAAAGCATGCTTCAGAACTGTTTTAAGAAGGTGCTTTAAGTTTTGAGCCATGTATTATTACTCTAAATTAGGCTACTACTACTATTACTATCTTGTACCCTGCAATAATCATTTACTCAAACTCACTTTTATGAGATGAAGGAAAAAAAAAAAAAAAGGAAATCGGCCAAACATATCGGCAAAAAAATCGGCATCATATATCGGCTGCTCTGATTTCTAAATATCGGCATTGGCCAGTGAAAAACCGGTCGACCTCTAGTATTTATGCACTTTTATATTTAAAAATATATTCAAAAGAAATAGTAATAAACATTAAATATTACTTAATTTTAATATTTAATAAACAACTAATATGTGGCTGATTCTTTTATAATAAATAAAAAAATAAAATATAAATAAATAAAATAAAAATGAAAAATCAGCTATATCTTTCTCCAGTTATCAGTATCACCACTGAAAAATCCATATTGTTTGGCCACAGGACAGTTTCCTGATACTGAGTTTTATTCCAAAATATGATTTTTCATTATAATTAACCAATAAAAAGAAAAAATTCAGATTCACAACTGATCTGTGTTTAGTAAAATTATGTAATCATGTAATCCCATTAGTCTTTCGTACCAGCGGCATGGATGGGGGTGCGTTTAAGCGTGTAGTCTTTCACTAGAATGGAAGCCCCCTGGTTGATGAGCACATCAACACATTCAACGTGGCCTTTGAAGGCAGCCAGGTCCAGTGGCGTGTGTCCTTGTGCTGTTCTCACATCCAAATCCAGCAGAGATTGAACCAGTACCTCAAGAGCCTGGTGATGTCCATGATATGCCTGATGACATCCATTAAAACAACCGTTAAACATAATCTGAGAGGATCCCAAGCCAGAAAGTGTAAGAGAATTAAAAGGAGTCAAATAAGGTTTCCCAACATTTGGTGAACAAACAAGATGGAGACTGTACTCACAGCCAGGTGGAGAGGGCTCACAGGAGCACGTACATCAGAGTCATTTAGGATGTCTGTCCCTGAGGTTTCCATTAACTTCAAAACAAGTCACAACAGATCTAATTAGGTCTCATCACTCTGTGACAATATTGAAGAGTAGGGATGCACCGATACTGGTCTCCTGTACTCGTACCCGTTAAAATGCCCCGATACCAAACGCCGATACCACACAGCATGTGATAAGTGCCATATTCAAACAAAGAAACACCGACAACAGAACAACAGAATGGAGTTAAGGATGTCTACTACGAAGTATATGTATGCAATGAATATACCGTTAAACATTCAGTATTAATGCCTGAATAGCTGATGTGTGCGAGCTGATAAACAAAGCACGCTGAGTGGATTGAGCGCGCGGCGGCGCAGATGCGCGAGCTTGTCGAGTGAATATACCTTTCTCACAGACATCACTGGAAAGTTTGTAGTTCGGTCGGATATGTCAAAAACAAGTAAGTAAAACAATTCACAAGTCACTTAACGGTAGGGAGAGAGAGAGAGCGAGAGAAAGATAGAGAGAGAGAGCGAGAGAGAGCGCGCACTTCTGTTGTGTGATCTTTGATGTTC